ATAGAATAGAATAGAATAGAATAGAATAGAATAGAATAGAATAGAATAGAATAGAATAGAATAGAACGGACACAGTAAGTTTGGCTAATTTGCTACAGTCCTGCGACTAGCAAGTAACAACATGAGGATTTAAATTATGGAATCTACCCCAGTGACCATCTCCTTCCGTATCATCATCCAGATCAACACGGGACACAAATCGTGGGCAAGCAAACCAGGGACAGGAGGGAAGCGAGAGAAAATAAACAACCTTGTGTGATAACCGAGTGACGAATATTACCGCGCTACTACTTAGGTTATTTAAATCCTTGATCTACGGGAGAGAGTCATGAGTGCACACAAATTTGAAAGTGGTCTTATGATAGATACTTGACAATGATTAAAAACACACCCTCCCCCGAAAGGCTTAAAGACACACACCGGAGTCTTTAGTTTTACTAAATGCAACAGTTGCCCAGGTTCACGCTTCTGAATCATCCTTAACATCGTCCTCCTTCTGATAGGCCAGAGCTCACCTTGTCCCAGCCTTGTTTTCCTCCCATTTTTCTCCACTTCAGGGACGGGTTCCACCACCGGCTCTGCGCACAAGCCAGGAGCCTGGGAGTCATCCTTGTTATCAGACTCTTCCTGGTGGTCCATGTTCAATCTTTTACTTATTCTTATTTTTCTTCCTAAATACCTCTTGAATCTGTGCATTTTATGTTTGCCACCTCCTTCATCATTCCACTATTACCTGGATTTCTATAATAGTTTTGTCCCTCTGACCTCTGAACCAATGAGCACAGACTAGGCAGGAGAATGTGTTCGTGAGGCAGATCCGGTCCCACCAGCCTCCTGCCTCAGGTCCAAGACTGTCCGGATCAAGACAGAAATCCTTAAGGCGGCCAGTGAGGCCCTGTGTCGGCTGGCCTCAGTTCTCGATCTTCACCTCATAGTACTCCCCTCTTCTTCTCTGTACCTCATCACCTTGACCTTTCAGTTTCTGCCTCATGGCCTTTGCAAATACTCTTTCCCAAGTCCTTCTCCTCTTTCCTGAGTGACCTTGAACTTACCTTTAGATAGTTCTGCATTCCCTTTCCCCTATCAGGGGCCCGCTTTCCATACAACTTCTCTCAGCATCCTCCCCTTCCCTTTGCACAGTCTAACAAGAGTGATGAAAAATATCTGCGTGTCTATTTCCCTGAGCAAAAACTATAAGAGCAAAAACCCAATCTCCCTTGTTCACCACTCTACATACAACACATAGCACAGAGCCTTTCACCTATTAGGTGGCTTGTTAATCCTTGAATGACGAGATGAACAAATACTTCCTGATCAGCTTCAATTGAGGAAGAGAGTGAGTCATCTTAGAACTCTCACTGTAGGTTCCTAGAAGCAGTCACTATAGCTTTTCTTCTGGTTACCATTGGTGGTGCCATGATGCCTGGGAGATTCTCAGTTGTGGGCTTACTGAATCTACAAGCTACATGCATGGAGAGGAGGCCCCTGCCTACTAGGAAGCAGAATATCCTTCTGCCATATAAGACCTAAGTCCTTCACCTTCTACGCGAATTAGGGAGCTGTAGGGCATACCTTTGATGATCTAGATTCCTCTTTCCTCTTGTATCAGCCAGGGTTCTCCAGAGAGAAACTGAACTGCCAGGATATATATATATAAAAGAAGGAGGTGACTCACACGATTTTGGAGGTTGAGATGTCCCATGATCTGCCATCTTCAAACTAGAGAAGCAGGGAGTCTGGTGATCAAGTCCAAAGGGCCGAGAGTTCGAGAGCCAACGGTATATATGCCAGGTCTGATCGGGAAGCCTGAGAACCAGAAACACAGAGTATAGGAGAAGATCAAAGTCCAGATCAAGAAGTCAAGCTGAGAGTAAATCCAACCTTCTTCCACCCTTTTGTTTCCTTGAGGCTCTCAGTGGCTTGGATGATGTGATCCTTCACTGGAGAGAGTCATCTGCTTTCCTAAGTCCACCAATCCAAATACTAATCTCAAAGGGAAACACCTAAAAATAATGTGTAGACAAGTACCGGGGCTTCCCATGACCCTGTCAGGTTGACACAAAACTAACCATTACACCTCTACGGCCAGATACACATCTAACCCTCCTGGTTTGGGACAGTTTGGTTTCACTGTAACTTTCAGAACGGTAGCAGCTGAGATTCTTGTCGATCATCTGTGAGCTTATAGTTGTTGGAAATCTAATGGAGACGATCCGCTAACTCTAGTAAATAGTACTCATAAATTGTCAAAGACACACTTCACATGCTCTCCTTAAAATTACACTAGAGATGCTTACAAGTATTACCTGTAATGAGTAAGAGGACACAATGAACAGTCTTTATAAAATGTTCTAATATAATCCAGTAACTGTGGGAAAGTTGTTAGCTACGGTTAAAGTGAAGAACCTAAAATATTTCCATTTTTTTTATACCTGGCTACAAATTCTTCCTTCCTCCCTTCCTTCTCTCTTTCCTTCTTCCTTCCTCCCTTCCTCCCTTCCTTCCTTCCTTCCTTCCTATGTAAGTCTTAAAGTGAAAGTTGTGTTCAATTACTTTACTTATATGCACATTCTAATTTTTCAACATCACACCAAAATGCCAGTGTGTAGTTCACAGATACAACTACACTTAGTGACTAGCTTCACCAATGGAAGTAATACCCCTGAAAATGATCCAATATTAAAACAGAGATAATACTAAGAAGTGAACGATTGGTATGAAAAAAAAGAGTTCTAGATCTTAGAGTTACAGTCATGTCCCTTTTCTGTAAATTATTTGCCAGATTGTCAGTGTTTAGAAAGTTAAAGTACGATATTAGATTCTGGTAGTTTGCTAAGTTATCCTAAAATTAACATGTTCCTATATTTGGAGCAATGACCTAGAAAATAAGATTGACTGAGTCATTTTGTTAAGTCTCCTTATTTTTCTGTACCCTAGGTTTCTCGTAGGCAGGCCTGATAAAAACTCTGTGCACATTTCATGGGCTGGTTATTCCTGCCATTCTGACTCTCGTCTCACACAATGACAACTCAAGAGAGAGTGCAACATAAGAAAATTTGAACATCTCCTCCCATAGCATTACGCATGCAATATAATTACTACTATTGTAAGTACAAGTGGGGAAAAAGAAAGCAGACACTTCAACTTTATCAAATCTACTGGTTTAACTGAAAACAAAAAAGAATCCATCAATGTAGGAGGGTGGAGCAGAGACCACATTAAATAAACAGCAAGTTTTCAATTTTTTACAATGAATTTGAAACAACTGCTGGATTTTCTCTTTTACTTAAGTAGTAATTACATTTCTTCATTCCACTTTCCAGTTCAAGTATTCGTCACTTACTGACTTACCGAGATTCTGAGGTTACAAGGCTAGAGGCAAGTTGACTAGATTCTACACGTTTTTTTCTCACTTCTGAAACTATGGACGCTGGCTGATCAGGATCAATAGACATTGTGTTAATGGAAGGTTCATTTTGTCCCTTTACTTTTACCACCCTGGTTTCTCTTTGACGTACACTATTTTGACTTTCGTCGGTTTCCGATTTGGAAAGGAAGAAAGGTTGATTGCATGTTAGAGCGTCCACACAGACTCTTGAAAATCATCCAAGGGGCGCCTGGGTGGCTCAGTCGGTTCAGCGTCCGACTTCAGCTCAGGTCACGATCTCGCGGTCCGGGAGTTCGAGCCCCGCTCCGGCTCTGGGCTGATGACTCAGAGCCTGGAGCCTGTTTCTGACTCTGTGTCTCCCTCTCTCTCTGCCCCTCCCCCGTTGATGCTCTGTCTCTCTCTGTCTCAAAAATAAAGAAACGTTAAAAAAAAAAAGAAAAAAAAAGAAAATCATCGAAGATCCACAGAGATTTTAGAGAAAGGGAGTCTCAAGTCCAACACCCACTTTTAAGGTGCAATCCTTGAGAATCAGGGAAGTTTCATGGCTTGAAAAAGGTCACATATTTGACCTTTTACAAGTAGGGATCCAATATGGCCCAGTGACGGCAAAGTGACAGGAACTTCATCAGTGACTAGCTGTCACTTGTCACCAACTTCAGTTTTGTGACATCACTCAAATTGTGGCTTTTTAAACATTTTTTTTAACGTTCCTTTATTTTTGAGACAGAGAGAGACAGAGCATGAACAGGGGAGGGGCAGAGACAGAGGGAGACACAGAATCCAAAACAGGCTCCAGGCTCTGAGCGGTCAGCACAGAGCCCGACGCGGGGCTCGAACTCACGGACTGCGAGATCGTGACCTGAGCCGAAGTCGGACGCTGAACTGACCGAGCCACCCAGGCGCCCCTCAAATTGTGGCTTTGAATGGTTGCTAACTGTTACCTTGTAGGTGTACCTTGTACCCCTAGAAAAATCAAGCTCTTTGATTTTCTTTTGTCCCCATAGTTGGCCAGCACAGTGCAAAACACCCTCAGTAAAAATTTAAATGAGCCTCTTTGGTAAGTTCTTTTACTGTTATCAGATCTCCTGAAATGTTTAATTCTGACATTTTTTTTTCTTTGAAAAATAAATGAAAATCTTAGTCACTGCCATAGCCAGAGTTGGCACATTTGCTGCTGCTATAAACTCTATGAGCACGGTCTGGGCTGGTCACGCCCAGCATTCTATCATTGATTCTGTTCCAGCATGACTATAATTTGAAATACGACACAATACGAAAAAATATTTGTAACTTCCGCCTGGACTCAGAGATTAAAACATTCTTTTTTTTTTTTTTCCTGAGTCAAGTTCAAGTACAACCTCTTTGTTTCCATTCTTCTGATCTATATCAGGAAAAAAACTTGCCTTCAGCTACACCACCATCACACAGGATGTCCCTCATTGTGCATTCTGGGGGTTCAAACACTTGCCCAGTTCTGTGCGTTCGCTTTTCAGACGCAGACCCTCACCGGGGGCAGATACGGGCGCTGGCTCCCAGGTGCCTGCTTCCTTCAGCTACTGTTGGCCGACCTCCGGTTGTGGTTTTCTTTCGCCACTATTCTCCTGGCTCTGACAAAAGACAATCACCCTTCCGGACCTGCACGTGGCTCCGCGAACACATCCAAATTCTGTTGCTTCAACACTGTTGAGTGACGTGCCACGTCTGCAACGGCAGGCAAGCTAATGTCACGATGCGTTTTGAGTCTTTGAGAATTTTCAGTTACTGATCTTGACCTTAAACAGGTCCCTGATTATTTCTTTGTGGCTTGCTCTCATATCGCATTCACAGACATGGCATGATCACGATTCAGAAAAGATTGCATTGTTTCTTCCCGGCTGCCCACACTGAAGAAGTCTGGCGTTTGTGAAAATGCATTTGGGAATCAAATGTCTTTCAGATTTCTCTAGTATGGCTTTATATTATAATCCTAAAATTCTTTTCCTTTTCTAAAAGTGAAGGAATCTGAAGTTATATTTGGCCTCAGGCTTGTTCACATTAGCTGCTGGGCTCTCAGAGGTCTTTGTTCTGAATACAAGTGATGCTTCTAGTGGACACAGGTGACGACTGGAGAAATACAGATGAGCAAGGGTATGGTAGTGCATCATCAGCTCAAGGAAAGAACATTCGAGAACAACTGTCCTTTCCCTATTTTATCACAGCAAAATGCCCTCCATTCCTTATCTCTCCCCTCTCCCACCCCTTTTCTTCCCTCCTTTGTTTCGTTTTGATTTTCTATTTTCTTGTTCTTTTTGCACGTCTGGATATGGTTATCTGTCTGTGAGGGAAGAGGGTTTCTCTCATCATGCTGACTTAGGGTTACCCAGGTGCAAGCTTCCTCAAGAATTGGAAACGGTGTCCTAATAAAGGAGATAACATTTTTTTATTTCTTGGATAAGGACAAGTAAACTAACTCTGAGTTTAAAAGTTAATGGTGTAGATGACAGCCAACTTTTAGCAGGCAAACAAAACAGTTTGAATACGACAAACATGGATTTTGTTCGGTTAGAAAACCATCGTTGAAAAGAGCTAAAAAAAAAAAAAAACCAGACTCTGGTACTTGCCTGAGTATGGGTGAAAGGCATTTTACCAACACTTCTTTTTTTCTGGCAAAAATACGTTATGTTAATGACCTTAAAACCCATTTTAAGGTTTTAAGGTCATAGCCCTTCCTTGTTCCCATTTTTTTTTAACGTTTCTTTATTTTTGAGACAGAGACAGACAGAGCATGAATGGGGTTGGGTCACAGAGAGACGGAGACACAGAATCTGAAACAGGCTCCAGGCTCTGAGCGGTCAGCCCAGAGCCCGACTCGGGGCTCGAACTCACGGACCGCGAGATCATGACCGGAGCCGAAGTCGGACGCTGAACCGACTGAGCCACCCAGGCACCCCGCCTTGTTCCCATTTTTAGTGTGACTTCCCATTTATGCTACATGTTCACAGGTGTCGAGTAATCACATTTAAAGAGATTATAAATAGAACCCAAGTCCATAAGTAATTGTAGCAAGAGATGTAGCAGGAATTCAAGCCTTCCAGTTAGCCCAAACACTCCTTAGACATGTTATAAGTTTGTGTCCGTGTGTATGTACCAGTTCCCTCTGTCAATCTCTTAAGGAGCTGCTCGCCTCTGGCTTGTACATCAGAAGATCCTAAATTATCTTGACATCCCCAACCTTGTTTCACTCAACTGTATTCTGAAAAAGAAATTTTGTAACAACTTTTGGAATTCCATTTTTCTGTAAAATATTTCCAATGGTATTTTAAAAGAGCATCAACATTAACCTTCATATACTTAATGAATTAATTATATTCAGAAAAACTGAGCCATGGAAATATTCGCATATTCTGCAAGGCATACTCAGACAACTTTTTTGAGGAATTAAATGGTCTTACTGCGTGGAGGAAACATGTAACTGACAGATGCAGATGTGAGTGTTCTAACACACATACAACTCAGTAGCTACAG